CCAACCCAAAGCACTCTGATTCAATGCTCCTCTAAGTTCTGATAATCGAGTTTTCTTTTTTTTTTCAATGGATTAGAGATGCCACCCTTCTCTCCAGACAGGGCAGCAAGAGCTGACGCTTTTGATTGTAACATAAATGCAAATCTGACTGAAAATCAAGCTATGSCAACCCCAGAATTTCATATAAAACTCTCATCTTGGTCTGCTCCATCAAAAAATCCTGTGCTATAAAAGATGTCACCTTATCCAGCAAAGGCAGCGAGGAGAAACAGAGCCACACAAACAGTTAGAAAGGGCTAGCAGGACGGGGACAGAGACTGTTTGACTGTTCTGCATTAAAATTCCRATTAATTGATTATTCTGTCTGGAATTGCATCTTTTGGAAGGCTCAGGATTCAGAACTGAGATCCCARAGGTAAGTTACTCCCCAAGCTGAAGTCAAACATCACAAAATACACAAAACCTTCACCACACTTCCACGAACCCCCTTTTCTGCACCAACCCCACCGCAAATTTTCTTTGCCAGGGCAGAAGGACGAGCCCCTCCCCAATTCCCAGTTTGAAGGGCTGGGATCTGACCTGTTGGGATGGGAGGTGGGCAGCATGAACTGGAATTCCACCACGCATGTGTTGTCTTTCAGCTGGCGGTGCTGGACACTGTTCAGCTCATAGGCAATGTAAGCCCTACGAACATACACCTGGRGACACAAACACCCTGTCAGTGCTGGGCTGAGACCTCCAAAGGACTCAAAACCACACAGGCACCTCCAARTGAGCAGCTAGATAAATGGAATTTATTGAATTCAATTCTAATCCAACCCAAAGTTAAAGCTGTTCTTTGAGGAAGGCCAGTCTGGCAGGTCAGAAYCATCAGGACTGTGATCCTGTCCTCGTTTTCTCCCTTCAACCACCTCARTCTTCACACAATTTGACATTTCACTCGATTATGAATGTTAATGCTGTTAAATGCCAGACTCCAAGCATGCTCAATTCCACACAACCTACAGCTCTCTCGGATCTCACACAGTGACAGCACMCAAAACAAACCATAGAAAAATTTAAAAATTTTGTTTTTCAGTGGGAATAAACTTACCTCCAAAGCTGCCATTCTCACCACCTGGTTACTGTGGTAGAAAAAGTTGGGAAGCACATCGAAGATGGATGTCTCGGACAAAATGAGTTTCTAGGAGAGATCACATTACGCAGAAATTTAAAACAGATAAAAGCTGGACACCAAACCAATACAACTGAAAGGCACAGGAAGGGCAGTGAGGAGGAGCAGGGAGCCAGGAGAGAAGGCTGGGGGTACCTGCAGGTTCTCRATGCAGAATTGGTGCCCGTACATGTCGATGGCTGACAGGAAGATGGACTCCACTTGGTTGTGTCGAAGCTCGTAGGAGGGCAGGTGGGAAGCAATGAGAACCTGGGCAAAYAAACACAGAAAATGTCAGGGCAAGAATGCTGGGCTGGCACCTCCAGCTGAACCAGAACCCATTCCTGAGGAAATTCCAGACCCTCCTGTGCGCTCTGCATCACTTGGGTGATACCACAGAGCCTCTCCCCTCCTCAGTCCTGTTTGACTCTGCTCCCTTTTTGAGTTATTGGCAATTCCCCACGGGGAAGAGGAGCAGTTTCAGTCGGGTTCCATCAGTGACTGAGCACTGCAGAGCTGCAGTCCCAGGGATTGCAGGAGATGCCCACTGTTCATGGCAGGGAGMAGCTGTGGGGACAGCACAGCCACGCTCAGCTTCCCCACAGGGCCAGGCACCAACTGCCCAAAGTGAAGGATGAACAGGAGGGAAATGAAAGCAACTGCAGAAAAAAATGAAGTGGAAGAGAGCACAAGGACTGCAGCACCATCCCCATCCAGCACCAGCCCCCAGTGGCTGCGGGGAGGTTCAATACCAGAACGGTTCAAGGACACAAACCCAATCCTGAAGGAAACAGAAGGTCACTGAGCAGCTTCAAACACCTGCTCATTTTCAATAGGCAAGCTCTGAAATAAAAGGAGAGATTCCCCAAAGCTTTCCTGCTTTAGACTTTTAGGCTGGAGATGGGGAGCGTGGAGTGAGAGGCGTGATCAGACACCGGGGTCAGCGTTATCAGGAAACCACTGATCCCTCTCACCCCTTCTTGGCAACACAGGGAGGGCTCAGCTGAGCTGCTGAAGAGGAAGATCAACACAGAGTCTGTGTGGCTGTGTGACATTCAAATCAGCTCTGCACCACACTCTTGGAGCTGACAGCACCAAGAGCTTTCCCAATTATTTCCAGGTTCAAACAAAAGCGACAAAGCGCARCTCAAAGATGGAAGGAAGCCTGCTCAAGGCCAGTGTAATTGTTGGTGATGTTTCCTCAGCAGCTGCAAAGAACATCTGGTTCCTGTATAAATTGTTATCTCTGCACACACAGAGCCACAACTGTAAGGAGCTGAGGAGCCTGGAGAGCACRTCCTGGCTGCCTGTGCTGGTCAGGCTTGCAGGTGACAAAGCCACCAGGAACCACAGTGACCGTACATTTCCACTTCCTCTGTCACACAAACCACGGGCTGCTCCCACCTAACTCCCCTGTGAGCCAGAAAAAACCTTTTGGAGGGGTAGGGACAAAGGAATATTTAAATATTAAATATTTAATATTTAAATTTAAATATTGGGAATGGATTGGGAATCCCAGTGATTGGGAATGCACTGCCATTGTACCCTGTCACCACGGTTAATCACCATTAATTAGCTTCACTGTCAAAGTGCTGCACACAGTAACCTCCTGTCCCCATTTGCASAGGGATCAAAACAAACATGAGGAGATGAGGATGTCCCCAAGGGGCCCAGGGTGGCTCACCTGGCGCGCTCGCAGGGCCACCTTGGCGTTGGTGGTTTTGCTGAGCTGGGTCAGCTCCGTCAGGATGTTGATCAGCTCATCTGTCAGGGTGGGGTCACGGCCACACAGCTGGTCCTGGCAGCACAGAGAATGGGAAATGCTCAGAACAGAGAGAAAACAKCACCCATCCTCCCTCTGAGGGGTTTGAGAGTGGAGCACCAACACACACACTCAGAGCTGGAGCAAACCATCCCCCGAGTCCCCACCTGAATTATCCTGGAATTCCCTGCTGACAAGGACACAAATATTCAGCTTTTAACAATTTTACACACATAAATAGAAGGTGAAAATGATGCCTGATGATTTTTGCCTTTCTTTTCATGTACCCTTTTATGCTTTTATATCTTTTTTAGGCTTTCTGTACCCTCTATGCATCCACCTGCACCCCTTAGTCCACATGCTTGTAATTGCTGAAGCCTGATATTCCAGCTTAATTTAGGAATTCTGCTGGGCAGAGAGACCAAACATCCTAAAGAAGGGATCAGTGTGCCCTGTGCTATCTTAAACCTGAGCTCAGCCTTGGGTGAAGCCTTCTGTCCAGAACATCTTGTGTAAACTGGGCTCTGGCCTCATCTGGGGGGGATTCATTAGAATAGGGGGACATTCCTGCATTTGTGAAGTTCCTTATTGGGGAATCCTAGATAGAAATGCTAATTCCTGAAACCTATAAAACTTGTATCTTATTGGGGAATCCTAGATAGATTTGCTAATTCCTGAAACCTATAAAACTTGTATCTTATTGGGGAATCCTAGATAGATTTGCTAATTCCTGAAACCTATAAAACTTGTACCCGTGCTGTACACGGGTGTGCATTCTGCCATCAAGTTGTGCACCTGGGATCCCAAATCCTGAGGTAAAATCCTTTTTATCCCTTTACCATGTCTGTGTCATTATTAAAAACTGGCCTTTCAAGACAACAAAAGAAGGGACAGGCACCATCTCCCATCCTCTTGTTTGTAGCAGATTTTGGCACCCAAACACTTCAAAAATGCTGATTTGTCAAAGACTCAATAAAACATTTCCCATTACCTGGTTTCAGATTTCTATCAATGCAAAATTCAAAGAGCATAAATTGTAGCCAGACACCTTGTGGAGCACGTAAAGATCAGCAAACCTTCCCCAGGAAGGATGACCAAAGTTACACTGCCAGAGAACCCCCTGACATCCACGAAAAAAAAACACCTCAAACCCCAAAATTCTCAACAATTCCACAACCACAAACTTTGTGCAGCTTCAGCCAACACCAGAAAAAAAGATAAGTCATTTTTCTGACAAGCAAAGCTAACTAAGCCCATGAATAATGAACTGCATTTTCTGCCAAGGTACAGGACTGACTCCATAATATTTCTTTTAACCAGAGAATCCTGGAGCTGAGGAAATCCACAAGCTTACCTGACTGTCCAAATTGGCTGGATAAAACAAAAAAAAAAAAACTGAAGAGCAAAACTTCCAGCATTAATACTGCTCCAAAACTCTTCTGAATTCATCCATTCAAAAAAAATGCAAACAGTAAAGACTTTCTTCCAAAAATAGTTTCAATTCCCATGAACAAYCCCACAGTCTTCAACAATTCTTGTGAGCCTCTTCCCTCCCACCCCGAAGCTGGAAACCCTCTAGGAGCCTCTGATGTGCTTCTGCCACACAGCACTTAACAGCTTGTCTTGATAAATTAATCATAGCAGGGAAATGTGAGCTGGAACAGAGATTTGCCACAGCAAAGAGATGCTGCCTGAAAGTTTGAAAAGATCTGAAACACCTACAGGTCAGAATAGGTCATTAGAAGATCAAAAAATAGAAAAGGATGAGGGGAAACCTCTGTGCAGCAGGTTGGATTAACAAACCTGCCAGGGAAAATAAAGTAAAAAACAAAACCAAATAATATTAAAGTGTCATAGAGGGAGTAACAAAAACCAGCTCGTACTCCACRGGATTCCAAAGCTCAACAGCTTTTCCCCCACATTGCTCCTGATCCCTTTGTTCCTGGAACCCCAGAAATGATGACACAGATGGCTCAGGGACACAGACCATGCTCAAATCACTGATAAAACATCTGAGCTCARACTCTGGTTAGACTGCTGTCCCTTCCTGACCAGTCCTGGGCCACCAAACACGGGTGTGAGCGTTCCCAAAGAAAGTTCTGTGCATTTATCCACTGCAGGACTCTGTGGGGACTCACAGTGAGTAATTCAAGAGCTGCCTCTGTCAGATTTGGAACACAAACTGCTGGAAATTGGAACATTGGAACATTGCTGCTCCAGGGAACAGCAATCCCACAGCACAGTTCCATCCTGCTCAGGCCAGGACGTGCACAGCTACAGCACAGAAAATGAACATGCAACAACAAATCACACCCTATTTCAACAAATATATGAAGGATGAAGCACTTCCCACCCTGCCTTCAGCGCCTGCTGGCTACAAAAGGTGAATGATGGCATTGCTGAAACCATCCTTGGAGCCCCTGTTAATAATGGGACCATCAATAASAGCCAGTGAGGCTGCCCTGGCAGGACAAGACTGACCCCACCCCAAAAACACCCAACCTGCCCTGGGTGCCACCAAATATGTCAGAAAGAGTCATGGGATGGAGGGAGAGGAGCGATGGTCTCTTGGYTGTGTCTGGAAGCTCAGGGACACCCAGCTGTGCCCAGGGTGCCCACAGGAACATTGTCCCTCCTGTGCCCCATGAGGTGGCATTGTGGCCTCACCAAAGGTGCTGGATAAGCATGAGTGACCCTTCCAGCAAGCTCTGCCAAAATGGGACCTTAAAAATGAGTGCCAGTCCTGGTGGGAAGGATGACCCAAAGAAAAGKGCAAAGGAAACCTCTCCAATGTCTCCCAGCCCAAGGAACCAACAAGGCACTGCCCACACCAGGTGACAAACCAGAGCCAAGGTTCCAGCCCCATTTTAGCAGGGAATAATGGGATGGCCACAGCAAACTGCAGCCAGGCTCTGGCTGTGGCAGCAGAGCCTCAGCCCCGCTCCGCCACGGGCTCACGCCTCGCCGGCACCCCGTGTAATTACACACTTGAGTGACTGGACTCTGAAGAAAATTGAAGGCCTGAGCTGTGAACAGCTGCCATTTTCTCTCTCCATCACGCCAGCGTGATTACTTGAGAAATGAACAGCCCCAGCTCAAAGCTACTCCAGAATTCTCAGAGGAAATATGGCTCCGTGTTCAAATAATGAGATTCTTAAGGCAAGCGTTACTTACAATCACACCGCACACCAAAAAGGGAAAGGGGAAAAAAAAAAAAAGGGGGAAAAGGAGAGCCAGAAAAAAGAATGCCAGGGTCCTTATGTCTTACAAATGAGAATTTAAGAAACCCAGCCACAGTCGAGGAAAATTATGACACTTTTTTTTTTTTTGCTTTGGAGAGTTATTTCGTGGATGGCTACTTTGGATGAATTTCTGGCAGTTACAGAGCACATTATGCTTGTAAAATAAGAGAAGAGAGAAAGAGAGAGGAAG